AACCGATCTTCCAACTTTTTCTCAGAAAAATTTTGCTTATGCAAATATGCTCTTAGGTCTTGGCTATCAAACGCTGAAAACCGCAGTTCTCTATCTTGTTCCTATCAAAAGTTATTCAAAGAACAACCGAGTGCCTTGAATTCTGGAACGGATAGTAGTAGTCATAGAACTTTTCAGTAGAACAAACAAGTAATAGATACATTTAGTATTGATTTATAGACTTTCAGTTGATATAATGACTGGTTTAATTAGCTATGTTGTGTTATATTATTAAACATAAATTCAACTTTCGATATTTTAAATTCTATTTGAAATGTTAACATGTATTGAAATTTGAAGTAAACACAAAATATTTTTTAAAATTTAAATAGTTCTTCAGATTTTCCATTTGATTTAAAAAGTAAATCTCTAACTTCTTTTCTCATGCATAGATTACATTGAAAAACAGTTTCATTTGGATACTTGTTTATTACAAACAGATATTAACACTCGTCTATTCATCTATGTCAAACCTACTTTTAAATTCTCAGAACTCTTATAGAATATGTAACAAGAGTCCATTAAAATGTTGAAAGAATTTTTTTATTTATTAAGTTTTAGATTTTATTCATTATTATTATTACAAATTTTTTTATTCTAAGACAAACCTTGGACAGAACTTGCTTCTTAAATGTCCAGGATTTCAGGATAGATACCACACCATACACTATATTTGTAGTAGAATTTTTAAAAATCGAAACTCTAGAAAACTGATTGCCTCGAAATCTGCCCTTATCCTAGAACAAGAATAATCCTCGTTAGACATACTATTGATAGATTGATTCTAGTGGATTTTGTCATCGATTGACCGACTTGGAAAATGAACGTTTTAATCGACAAGATTATACTCTTGCTTGGCTAGATATGAAAGTAGATAAACGTGATGAACATACGAAAAAGTTAGTACGAAAATTAAATGATTATATCAAAATTTTTACTGATATTATTGAGTGTGATCAATATTTACGTGATAAACGTGATCCTGTCTTTCTTATCATATCTGGTTCTTGTGCTACTCAATGTTTATCTCGTATTCACAATATACCGACTATTGATTCGACTTTTATCTATTGTGCATCACCATCGAAATATAAAAAAATGATCGATATGAATACGAAAGTGGTTAGTTGTGTATCCACTGAGCGAGAACTTTTCAATCAAGTGCATTGGTGGACTGAATTAAAATGTTCAACTTAATTTTACACATGTGGAAACGATTTTAGACGTCTAACACGAGATTCATCACTTTTTCTTGCCTATTTCTTGGTACTCGATGGAATTCCTTTCGGTAGTAATAAACAAGATATGGTAAATATTTGTCGAGCTTATTATGTTGAAAACACGATTGAGAACGGAAATATTGATGAATTTGAAATAAAATATACTCAAGATCAAGCAGTTGCATGGTACACGAAGAGTACATTCATCTACAAAATGTTAAAGAAAACCTTACGTCTTTTCGATTTGAATAAGCTCTATGCGTTTGCTTTTTATATTTGTGACTTACAAAAACAACTAGAAAATTGGCATTATACTCCGTCGAAAACTTTTTTCGTCTATCGTGGTTTAACTATGTCATTAATTAATATCGCTCAACTTCAAGCTAACGTACGAAATCTTGTTGCATCAAATGGATTCTTATCAACAAGTCGAACAAGAGAAATTGCAATGAATTATGCCAGAAAACAAGGCATCCTTGAACAAAGTGACAATTTCTGTAATGTTCTTTTAGAAATAGAGATTGGCACCGATGTTTCTTCATCTTGTATCTTTGCTGATGCGGCACATATTAGTGATTTTCCAGAAGAGCAAGAAATTCTGTTTTCTATAGGAACAATATTTCGTCTAAATGAAGTTAGTTTACCATCTCAAACGGGTATCTATATTGTCAAAATGAAAACAGCCAATAGCGAAGAATATGCTCTTATAGACAAGCTTCTTACTATTGCGAGAGAAAAATTCGAAGAACATAGAACTCAACAACTTATTCTTAAACTACTTCAATATGGTCAATCATTTTCGCGTCATTGTTTTAATTTTGATTGATCGCCGATATGGAATAATATCAAGAATGGAATGTATGCTACTTCTCATAGAGCTGCAAAAGCTTTAGTTTCTGGAGCTTATTGATTTACTCGAACAAACTATTTACAATCAAATATAACAATAGCTTTAGAAACTTCAGGTTAGAAGTATATTAAAATATTTTAAATAAATATAGATGCATTGCATAGGATCAAATAACATTGAACCCGGCTTTTGTTTCTATTCGGGTACTTCAACATTACAGGCACAACTTGGAACTGACGTTGATGATGATAAAAATTGGATAAGTAATGGTGAACTTATTCGTACTTTGACTTCTTCCGATTTTCAAGGATATCCCCGTACATATATTGTTATTTCTAACGTTTAATTACCATCTTATCTCGTGACATTGGGTTCTAAATGGTTACATATTTATTACAATGATAATCAAGTTTATTGTCAATTTATTCATGATTTCGCACAATACTATCGTGAAATAGGTCAACAAGTTCTTCGAGAACAAAATGATTATGAAAAAGCAAAATATTTTCTCGTCAAATCAACTCGACTATATGAACTTTTAGAAAAAGATGTTGAAGAACGAATGAAACGTTTCTCTATAATATATTTATCCGAAGTACTGAAAAACTAATTTATCCTTCATCAGGTTTGCTAAAATATTTTTTTGTGTTCCTAATAAATAAATGATTTGATTATATAAAATAAACGTGTAACATTAAAATTTTAGTCGATGAATAATTAGTATAAAATTATTCTATTTTAGATACCATCGAAAGCATAATATATAATAATCACATTGAATATCAGGTATTTCTTCATAGATTATAAATTTTATTGTCGCATGAAAATTCAACTCGTGCAATATCGCTTGAAACATCTTCCATTTTTTGCTTGGGTAAGTTAAAATATTTTCATAAAATTTTTTGTTTCTCAACTTGTGTCGTATCAGTTGATACTGAAAGTTATTTAGATATGTCAGATACTCAGTTAGGAGAGACTGCTCCACTTGATTTATTCGATGATCAAAAAGATGCTATTATCTTCGATCAAGATGGTGATATATCAAATGCTGAACAACAACTGAAACCATTCAGTTTGATCGTAAAAATAATTCAAAGTTTGAAAATGTTGACAACATTATTGAAAACTAAATGCGAAAAAGCGATCATTTTCATACTAATCCTTCCTAATGGGACTCGAAGTGATGTAATAGAATTTCTAACTAATGTAGAATTTCGACAACAATCAATACATTTATTTTATTTGTTTTTCATTAATGGAGAGCAGTATGAAGTCGAACTATGGAAGCATTTTCCTCATCTATCTATCGAATGTTATTCTATAACAGAACGACGTTATAATGAAATTCGAATGGTTTTATCAAGTACATGTGATCTTAATATTAAATTTTTCTATCGACGAGCAGTAAAAGAAGAAGCTCAAGATAATAAAGGTTTAGCATTCATTTACGAGCAACAACGTCGAAATCTTTTAATACTTCAAAGAACTTTTAATAATTATCTTATCAATGAAATTGATGAAAATTAATTTTGATTATTATCATTATAAAATATAGTCATCATTTAATTATTTACTTTTTGTTTTATATACATTAGAACTAACCAAAAGTGCCATCATGATAGATAAAAAAGTGATTGAAAACATTTCATTAATATTGAATTTTGATTGAATACTATTCGATACTATAATTATTATTTATCCGATGTCATATACTTATTCATTAGTGCACTAAAAATGGCACAGAAACTTTTTCTTGATTTTTCACTAAGTTTCTTTGTTCGTTGTCATTATTAAACAAATAAATTACAAAATTCAACATTTGAATAAAAACATCAATTTTGATAACGAAAAAAAAAAAATTTTCTTTAGATTCTCAAATAAGACAAAGTATAATTTAAAAAAATAATAAGAGATTTTCTGTCTTACAGTTGTCAATATTAATCTAGAATCCTTCTAAGATATGTTTAAAAGCTTGATACTTTTGTTATGTTGACATAATTATAATAACGACCATCGATGTTCTATTAATTTCTTTTCTAAGATTGATTAGAAACTCGCTATGAAATATTTCTCGAACACAATTTCTAAGTATTTCAATCAAACCTTTATTAACTGCACACTAATCAGCGAACAAACTGCACACGATAATATAAGTAAAACGACATATAACATCAAATAATTGATATTCGTTTGATGAAGAATCAACAAAGACTTTTTTTCTATCGTTATCGAACGTTCTTTAAAGCTTATCAACTCTACTGATTGTCTCCACATCGAAATTTAGAAAATGAGTCATATCTTAAGTTGTATGGTTTATATCAAAATAGTCGCCAATAGATTCCTTGACAATCTGAAAGAAACCAAAGTGGCTGCTAATTTGTTAGTTAAGTGGTGTGACATTTACAGTTGTTAACTAAATAAAGTTATTTACACCAATCATAACTTCAATAATTACTGTATTTCGTTCATATAGGAAGAAATCACTAAAAAATCTTATTGTAAAAGATGCCATTGATGTTCCTATTCTTTTTCCAGTATTTTTCCTTCTCCATATTATCTTTCTTTTTTGCCGACGAGCAAATCGAACATACAATGACATCGAAAATTTCAGTCACATCTATGTTGTATCAGTAATTATATTTAGATCATGTTGAATTTTTAGATTTTTGATTGTTCAAGATAAAGTCTACACGAATTCAAATAGAAAAATGTAACTAATCACATGATTGAGGAACAGAATTTAATATTTGTTTTTAATAATGACAATATATATTAAAAATAGATTAAAATAATGAAATTTCATATCGAAGATTATGATAAATACTTCAACTAAATATAGTAAAGAAGCTATTGTCTATTCTAAAAAAGTAGGCGGGTGAGTATTTTTTTGAGTAACGTCTGAACGGATGGAGTTAGAGAGTTACGGTTATCACCATTGGAAAGAGAAGATGAAGACACATCGAATCATATATGACAACATTTTATTGACTACTTTTCTAACAGTTTTAGTCAAACGTTTTCAAAAAATTTATTTTTTCTCACACGTGAAAAAAGTGATTTTTCGTCAAAAAACTAGAAAAACTTGAATTTTTCGATTATTTTGTTGAAAAAATGGAGTGGTAAATTGTATTCCAATGGCTAGGATATCTTACTGGTAGTGGTTAGGAATAGAATGTTTATATAGTTCTATAGCGCTTCATATGGCGGTACTATCACACTCTTCACAATCAATAACATAACATCGCCACCATGAGAGACATGCTATTCTTCTATAAGTGTTATGTAAAACTGTTATAAAAGTAATCAGAAAAATCCTTTTTTTTAAATATAATTCGATGCGTCTTCATCTTCTCTTTCCAATGATGAAAATCGCAGCCCTCTAACTCAATCCGTTCAGAAGTTATTCATAAAATATCCACTCGCCTTCTTTTTTTGAATTGGTCAATAGTTGAACAACTATTCTATAAATAAGCTTTTTGAATTCTCGAAGAATCTATCGACTAAGTTAATCAATACTTTAAAAGTAATATTTATTTTGAGAAAAGTCAAAGATGATTTTGTTCTGTTATTAATGTAATTCTATATGATGAACAACTTATAAATGATGTTATTCATTCTTGTCTATTTCATCCGATTTTGCCTTGCTTTAGAAATTGTTCGAGACCAAACATACTAATATAGTCAGAAATATTCTGTTTTCAATGACGAATATATGGATGATGATAAGAAAAGACGTTTTTTATAGCTTTGATAAAGAATACTGTGTTTTTTTTTTGTACTCTCGATTCAACATCTATAAAAGCGAGATAAATAATATGAATATATAGATATATTTTGTGAACAAGAAAGTATAAGTATTCTGTTATGTAGAGACATCTTTTCTCTTACAAGTAACAATTATAATGATAAAAATCAATCTTAAAAAGATTTTATTTAAAAGTAAACTGAAATTATTTCTTGTTCATTTAATTCAAATAAAAGTAGAAATTTTATTTCAATAAAGAGATTGATCATCTTTCTCATCCAATCCTTCATCATTTTGATAATATTTTGTCTGTTGTTGTTTTTTGTTTAATCGACATTTTATTGATAAATAAATACTGTAAAAAAGAAAATGTCAACTCTTCCTGATGATTATCAACCACCCGATCCTCACACTCTTCCAACAGGTCCATTAGATACAAGTACATCATCATATGGTTTTTCTCATACAATGATTCGTATAAAGGATCCTCGTGTATCACTTAATTTTTATACACGTATTCTTGGAATGACTCTTATTCGTATAATGCCAATGCCTGCTGGTAAATTTACAAATTACTTTTTATGTTATCCTCAATCTGAAGTACCCGATAAAGATAATCATGATCAATTAATGCATTGGCTATGGCAACAACAAGGTGTTCTTGAATTATGTCATAATTGGGGAACAGAATTACCTTCAAGTGGTTTTGAAGGTTATAAATCTGGTAATGAACCTGAACATAAAGGATTTGGACATATTTGTGTATTTGTTGATGATCTTCATCAAGCTTGTGATCGTTTTACTAAATTAGGTGTACAATTTAAAAAACGACCTGAAGATGGTCAAATGAGACATATTGCTTTTATCTTAGATCCTGATTTATATTGGATTGAAATTATACAAAAAAGTGCTGGAGATAAAGAAAATACCAATAAATAGTCATTTGATCCAGTCATAAACTATATATTTAAGATGAAACAATTATTTTTTATTGAAATATCTATCTCTTCTGTCTTTTCATCAAAATTGTTTTCATCTATTATATAATTTCTTAATGAAAATAACAAGAGAAATAAATATTATAAAACGATGAACAATTCGATTGTTCAAAAATCATATTTTTCGAATTTTATCAATAATAAAACTTCATATAAAAAGCTTCGATTATCATATAGAATGTGTTTTTAACATGCATATTCAGACGCTCTATATTCGACTAATCTTATAGTTAAACAAAAATATAATATCTATTATTAAAAATAACTTGAGTTAGATTGTAATTAGAGTAAAAACAATATGTATAAATAGATAAAATCATACTACTGATGTTTTATCAACAAGACTTGTAACTATATTCGCCAGTCTTCATCGATTGAAAACTTTTTGATAAAAATATCATTTTTCTTTGATAAAAATTGTTGAGAGTAAGTTTGTTTGCTCTTATCAAACTAATCAGATAGCATTGTTTTCCCGAACTATCAGTTTTATTTTCTTCTGTTGGTTAATAATGAACGAAACAAACAGATGGGATTGAACCAGTTTTAAAAAATTCTCGACTGGTTATAATTGTGGTATCAAATTATTTCGATATCTGTTTGATTTTTTTTTAGAATATTGATTTAAAATAGTCTTTGATAATCATTTTACATAGACTTTGTAAATCCTTTGAGGGTCGACTTTTCTCTAACAACATAAACGAAACTCTATCGTCAGATTCAGTTATAACCTGAAAGTATTAACTATCATAATTATAATACTTTACTCTTACTGCAACGACACAAATAGAGAATTTTGAAATAGAAAAAGAAACAAAACATTCGAAGAATTTACTCTAACAAATCCAAAGAGTTAAAATTTCTGTTGGAATTTTCAAAACTGTATAAATACGGTCTTGGTTCCCAAAGAGTTAAAATGTGTGAACTATATGATTTATATTTGATGTTCAGAATTAAAAATCAATAATTTCTGTTGACAACTTAATTCTATTATCAAACATTTGAGAAATTCTTTTTCTTGCTTGTTGTTTCTACAGTAGAACATGGAGACGGGTGATCATTAATCTTTTTTGAAAGTGTTTTTCTTTCTTATAACTCGACATATGTCAAATTCTTTTTTTGTATTAATTAATAAAAACATTGTAATATTTCATTATCTTCCGATCGATATTGTTGAAAATCTTACTAAACTTTTTATTAGAATATCAATTTTATAAATATTGAATTATTCTGTTAAACAAATTCATGTATCAGAATCAAATATATAAAGACAAAACAAAAAAAAATGATTTCATTCATCTCTGTATGATCATTTCAATAGGAATTTAATATTTCTCATATATAAAAAAAGGAACGAAAATAAACGTTTTAATTACATGTAGGAGGCGATGATATTCCACGAAATTGACCAGCAGAATGTCCAGGTATAATAGTACTTCTATGTCTAACTAAACGCATTCGAACGATTTGTGCAACTTCTTCTTTTTGTGATTTAGTTCGAAATAAATTCATAAATCTTTCAAAACAATATAATTGAAAATAACGATAAAATAATTTTCGTATTTCATTTCGAAATGATTTTCCACTTAAACAATAAACATAAAAATTTAATGAACAATTGGCTAATATAACAACACTTGTTGAATATGATAAAAGAACATTGGATGTTGACCAATGGACAATTGTTGCTGTTAATGATGAAAAACAAAAAAGAAATGAATGAATTATTAATACAATATTCATCCATGATGTACGTGGACGATTATGTACTATTAAACCATCAACAC